TCCTACCACCACGAACGCGGCAAGAAACTGACCCCGATCATTGAGCCGGAAAGTTTTACGCTTCCGCCCTCCCTGCACGCGCGTGCCCTGGGCGACCGCAAGCGGCTGGATTCAGAACCGCTATCAACCTCGAGCCACGATAGCGAAACCACGCGGGCGAGCACCGAAGGTTACGATTTCTACGACGCAGATGCGCTGGTCAAGGCTATCAATGTTCCCGGATCCCCGAGTCGTGCCCGGAAGCCCATCATCAGACAAGATTCCGACGACAGCTTCGCCCAAGTCTTTTCCATTTCGCATGGGAGCAGACACGCCACCGGCCTGACCAACTCTTCCGATGGGAGTATTACTGCGCAAGCCGCCATCAGGGCTGCCTTCATGGATGGCCCGCAAAATGCGAGCGCGAGCGATGATGGTGACTTTGGAAGCCGTATTCGCGGCAGGCAGATTGAAGGGTCGCCAACCGGCTTTCCATTTCGTAGGATGCTTGAACGGACGGACACGAACATGAGCGCATTCACCGACGAACACAATCTGATCACACAAACCACAAGCGACAGCTTTGGCTCGCCGTATCCTTCGCAGACAGATGCAGACTTTTCCACGGAATCGCCTCAACGGCAACCGCGACCTCCCGCCGAACCCGTTGACCCGGAGAAAGACTTTCGGTCTCCGTTCATGATTGAGACTGACTACCTCAGCTGGGCCAATGATCCGCCCTACCCTTACCCCCTGCAGTCGGCATCGGCATTCTCTACAAACGGGACCCCTCCCCTCCAGCCGTACTCGCTCATATCCCGTGCGCTCGCCTTCGAGACCAAATCATCGGCCCTCAATGCGTCTGCAATCGTTCTTCTTCTCAAGCCTCTCGTCCCCGCAGACGTTATTGACAACTTCCAAACCGCCGCAATCCTGCGGCAGCACCACTCGCGCCTCATGAGCCTGAAGCTGTCTGTCGAAGCCTCCCTCCTCCGCAAGATGTGCATGAGAGGCTGGCCAGGAGGCGTGCTGTCGTCGTGGGGCGAAAACTATCCCGCCGTCTTCACGCCAGCGCACCAAGGCGTTCAGGTCGGCTTCTTCTGCGCCGAGTGCCGCAAGCCACGGGAAATCGACCGCACCTCCGGGTCGACCCAGTCCATCTGGCACTGCGGCCGGTGCAAATCGGTCATGGCCCCCTGCGCGGTTTGCGGCCATCGCGATTCCCCGCCCGACATCCCGCTCCCACCCTACACTTCAGAATCGGGATACGGTACGCAGCAAGCCAAGCACGGTGAAGAGGAGACCATGCTCGCTACGTGGTGGCACTGTCCCGGCTGCGGCCATGGAGGTCATTCGTCGTGCCTCCAGGCATGGCATTCTGCCTTTGAGTCAGATTTCCAACTGTCCGACACACCGCTCGACGGCTCCATTCCACTAGAGTCCAGCGACGGGTGCTGTCCCCTCGACGGGTGCGGGCACGCGTGTCTGCCCGGCCGCGGCCGCGTCGATAGCGTAGCAGCCAGAACTGATGAGGTGACGCGGGCGCTGCGCGAAGCGGCGCGTGGCGCGAGTCGCATGACGCCCGGGATGGGTGCAGGCATAGACATGCTCTTGCCGTCCCAGGGAGGTGGGATTGATCGGCTGGGGGAGCTGCATCAAACCAGTGGTAGCGGAGGGGAGCATCGCGATCCGCCTCATGGGGTGAGGAGTGACGGGTACGATGTGCCGCAGAGCAGGGCGGTCGAGAGTGTCAGGGAGACGTTGACGAATGCAGGGCAGGGCCACCATATCCCGGTTGGGAGTGCCAAGGCCGGGCTGACGACGACGACGAGTATTCTCAGCTCGAGCCCGGGGAGGAGCGGCGAGCGGATGGAGAGGGAGAGGAGGAAGAGTGTCAAGTTTGTGGCAACGCCCGAGGAGAGGTGATGTGTGAGTTTTGAGATGATGTGATGGTTGATGTTGGTGTTTTGTGTTGTTTACGATGTTGGTGGTTTTTTTGGTTTAGATGTAAGATCAAGATCCATGACATGATGACTGGGAGAAGGTGGGTGGTTTATTGCATGACTACAGTTGATATACCCAACCTGCACTACTTTTGTAGAAGATAATACGCGCGTTTTTTTTTTTTTGGTAGTGGGGGGGGGGGGGGGGAGGGGGGATATGATATCGACTTGTGTCGTGACGGGAGGAACTGCCTGAGGGGACAAGAGACTCGAATCCAAGGGAAAATCATGATCCCGCCGTGGCCATCAAGGTGCCTTACTGACGGCCATCATGGAAATGTTTTAGCGACTCCTCATCAAAATAACAAGGCCAGTTGGTTGAGCAATCTTGTGTTATAGTATGTGTGAGGTCTGTCCAAACTCAGTTTCGCCTTTCCCCCTGTGAATCCCGCGCACTCGCGGGTTCGATTCCCGGGCTGGTCTTCAATTTTTGGGGGTTTTCATGTAATAATAATAAAAATTAGCATTTGCCAGAGCCCCGGATTACAGGGTCTGCAATTCCACGTCCATGGCCGCTGGCCCTATCAAGCTTATTCTGAATGCAATCTGGACGGCACGGTGTGACGCTCCCGTCTAGAGAGACCCTGAAGATTTGATGAGGCCTTTGCAGCATAAAGATATCATTCTTCAATACTTTGAATGGCCTTTCTGGTATTTCAAAATACCTTTTCCATACTATCTATAGTAACGAGGTACCCTTTCTGGTACTTGGTAAGTTAAACCTTTTGCAGTCCTACACTAAATGATAAATAAGTAAGGGATAGATTGTAGGCTGAAGGAGAAACGAGTTATTAAAGGGTCCAGAGGGTGGTCTGTGGGGAAATGGTAGTATATAAGAAAGCTTAACCGATACGCCGCTTTAACAAACCGGTTGGTGTGGGTAATAAAATCTATAGTATACTCAAGCTTAACTCCCAACCCGAGCTTTTTTCTTCCTTTTAGTGCCTCACTGACGAGCAATGCGAGGGCATGGCGATAGCCTATCTGTCCTCCGCGCCAACGCGTGGAACTAGGGTATACTGAGGTCGCCCAAGTTTGCAACCCCCTCTCCAATCAAAAAGGGCAAAGGGAAATCGCGGCCCAGACATCCTTGAAGTCGGGTACTCTCTTGGAGCCTGAGCGAGGTTGTATGTCGGTTGGGGGGGTGAGTGGGTTTCGTCCGACATTTTGAAAGCATGTTTTCCACGTCCTCTCAAGTTCTTCCAGGTTCTGAAGATGAAAAAACGGTCGGAGGGATCCTCAGGATAGGCGATCGACATGAATATGTAATTCGTGTCGCATCTAGAGCAGCTCCGCACGCCGTCTCGCGTTGGGGTTTCTTCGCAGTCTTGGCAGTTCATTTCGTGGAATAGGAGGGAAGAACCGGTATATGCTCCCGTTTGTGGAATCGGATGATATCTTGGGATTGCACTCATGTGCAAGAAAGTAGTCTGGAAATTCGTCTCTGTCGCGTTGTACCCGCGTCGTGAGGTAATGACATTGATATATTATTGTAAAACCGTTGGTTATTAGCGCGAGGGCAGGACTAGTTTGAACCTTTGTAAACTGCGTACCATTGTGATTCTTTCTAGGACCTTTGGGAAGGGGCTGAGAAGCCTCTCCGATGTGGTTATCTTTGCTGGCAGATTTCTCATTTTGCTGACTGGAAACTGGCCCGACATCTGGACATGACCCGGACTCGGAGCATGGCGGTAGCGGGTTGGATGGTAGATCCGATTGTGCTCTCTTTGAACGTTTGCTCTGGAATCCTTTGGTCCAGGAGAACAGGGTCATCTCGAATGCCAAAATGTTCAAATATACATTCTCGGCCGTTATCCCAAAGCATACGAAAGCGTAGCCCCATCCACAGAAGTCAAACTCTGTCACCGAATCGGGGTGAGAAGGAAGACAGCAACTCCATTGAAAGTACACATTGTACCACTACTGGCATTGGCCTAAGCTTGAAATAACCTCTCAGGGCTGTCATGTTTTCGGAGGAGGTTGATAATGGGCAGAAACAGTTTTTGTTGCGCTGCGTCTTCGTCACCTCCCAAGAGCCCCCTGACCTCATCCCAACTCCTCCAGTGCCAGCCCTCGCACTTTTCAGGCTCTAGAGTCTACGCAATCAATTAGTATGTTTTACCAATGTATAGGGAAAGGGCCAAGTTGCCTCGGGCTGCTGTGCATCGTCGACGCGGCGACATGACACAAACAAGGTGATGTAGTGTTTGGAGTCAGCGGTGAAGACATCGTTCGTTACGGCCACAACCTTGTCGGCATGGACAACGAGGCCCGTCTCCTCGAGAGTTTCGCGTTCGGCACAGACGAGGGGGTCCTCGCCAAACTCAAGGTGACCCCCTGGGAACTGCCAGTGGCCTAGGGGGTTAGTTAGTTACTTGCATAAACCCAAAAACGGTGGCATTTGCTTACCGAGCCCGTGGCTGCCCTTCCGAATGCCCATGACCACCTTGCCTTCTGCATCTGTGACAACGGCGGCGACGCCCACTCTCACCACTGGATCCTGTGACGTCATGATGGGGATTTCCAAAAGCGGATACCAGATTTGTTGACCGAAATCTTGAGTTTTTGAATGATTTGGACACGGCAGAAATATCGACCACAAATTCATGTGACTCATCGAGGAATGCCGGGAGTTGATAGGACCAACCCCGGACCCGACCGTCGTCCCACAACGGGTCCGGGCATCCCAGCGCAAAGCGGCCCTCTACGAGAATTGGAGAAGGGAAGGGTGCCCCCCCTCCCATCCATGCGTGGACGTCTCCACTGCACAGCGCACCGACTCTGCGATCATTCTTCCACAGCGCGTCAGGGCACCACCAGTGCACCAGCGCCCCAACGCACAGCCAGAAACCCCGCTCATGACACGAGAGCAGCGGATTAAAGTGGACTTTTTCCACGAAAAGCTCGGGACGAAGCAGAGAATGCTGTGCCAATGTCCAACCACCGACCCAGCACGCCCCAGCAATCCTACTCATGTGCCATGTTCTGTGGCAAATCTTCCAATCAGCAGCAGCAACAGCCGGGCTGGCGCAATTGGTAGCGCGCAAGACTTCTACAACTCCCCAACAGGATGACATCTTGAGGTTGTGGGTTCGAGTCCCACGTTCGGTGCTTCCTTTTCTTTTTTTGGTTTGGCCTCCAAACCCCCTTGCAATTTGATGATGGATTTTATTGTCACCATCAAAACAGCAACCTCGCTAACAGCCACTCTCTTTTCCTTTCTCCACCTTTTCATCGTCCATCCATGACGAAATAAGCCGTAGGCACCCACGTGGCCAGCAAGACTTGGACATCGCTAATAATGAAGCAGATAACATGAAAGGGGAGTCGGCTTACAACAGCTGGCCTGGCCGGCCATAGCGAGCGTCTGGTGCGCCCAAGTCCCACGGAAACGGTATTGATATTTAGTGTCCAACTTGTATATAAATATCCATAGAATCATCATCAATAATTACTTTACTGCGCTCCAAGCTCATCAACCGCAGTCTGGCGGCGGATACCTTTGGCGATATGCCACCTCAATAGCGCGAGAATATGGCATAGCGCAGCTCGCCTCCCTTCCTGTGTCTGAAGGTTGAACCACTCTGTGCTGTGTGCATGTAAGGCGAATGCATCCTTATTAGGGTTGTTGGCAAGGTCTAATTGGGTCTTTTGGCCCGTGCTGAGGACCCGTGAGGTAACCCTACTTGTTTCCTAAGCGTTCTTGATCTCCTTTTCACGTAATCACTGTCTCGCCGAGGTATTGAGCCAGGTGCTCGTTTGAGACGGAAGGGACGCAACTCTTCGTTTTCTCCTCGACATAGATGTACTTGTTGGGGGCTTTTCTTTGCTTCAAGGAGGGCTAAGCACGAATTGTGCACTTTCCACCCAAGCTCGGTCTGGTGCATTAAGTAACCCCCCCCCCGCGGTCATCTTCAGCGGTAATAGGGGTGTTTTCCGGAATGTAAACGGTGGGTCCTCTAGCGCTCTACCCGTAGCACCATCTCTATCTTTGCCACTACGTCGGTAGCGTGCTGCAAGAGGCAGAGCTGCAGAGCCATGTTGTAGAAAATACGTCACAAGCTGAACCGCCACATCTTCATGCAGAGATGCGGTGGGGGTCTTTCCTACAAGAACCCCGACACTGGTGTGGTCCAGCTCCTGAGGAGAGTGATTGGGACCTTTAAGGACATCATCGACCTGTTCAATCTCGTTGCTGATTCGCGTCATCTCGGTCGGGACTACGAAATTCTAGAGACGAAACTGGATATTGAAAAGACGCTGTTGCTTTAGTGGGCCCTTCCTCAGATGTGGAAGGAAGTCCTGGGCGACCATAGGGGCCTGGTTGATGTGGGTTTGCCATCACAAGTGGAGATGATGCACGCCTTTAGCTTCATCGGCAGGAACCAAGATACTATCGGAGGGCGGTTCTGCATTCTCATCGATAGTCTCGACGAGGTTGCCGGGGATTACATGGACGGCATAGCCTTCATCAAGTACATCAAGGTGCTCGCTCGTCTTTAGCCGGCCAATCCCGGACTGCGTGGCAGCCTTTAGCGATTCTCCGGGGCTTCGACTTCAGGACCTCAATCACGGCGACATATCGGCGTACGTGAACGAGACCATCGGCAAACATGGGTACATGTCCGATATCTTGAGGTCCAGCACGGAGTGTGAAAGCATGATACAAGACATTATCGACAAGGCGTCGTCGAGCGTCTTCCTCTGGGTGGTACTGGCTTGCCGGTCGTTGCTGAGTGGGTTCGCCAACCACGACGACATGTCGGAGCTGCGCCGCCGCGTCGACGAGCTGCTCCCGGAGCTCGAGGAGCTGTTCCAGCAGCTCTCCCACCAGGCCCAGTTTAACCTTTGCACCGAGCTCGAGGGGCGTCTCAGGAGCCGATGCGGCGGGTTGCTCGAGGCATCGAGGGATACCACTGGCCAGATGCCCTGTCTCTCAAGCACTCGCTGCCGTTTCCACAACCCTCGGTGCATCAACTTCAGAGTGGCCTTTATGCACCGCACAGTCTTCCGAGTTCCTCAGCGAGCCCTCTATTTGGGAACTAGATTGTCTCAACCTCCCACCGAGATTTGAGCCACATACAGCACTTTCTCTATATAACCTACATCTTGCCAAGCAGAGCTTTCACATGGTTTCTTTGGAAGACAAGCTGAGTTGCTTCCTTTGTCCCACGACGACTTTTAACTGGGCGGCTCTGGCGGATGCCGAGGAGCATGGAAGCCCAGGGGTGTTCTTCGATGGTTTACAGGCCATATTAACCCAAGATCCAGTAGCGATTCCGGTATTTAGGGACTTGGACATCTATCGGATATGTCTCTTTACTTCCGCGACATGGAGCAAGAGCTTCCCCCAGGACCGCTCCTCAAGTCGTAGATCAGTCTCAAACTTGCCATTGAGGCTGTTGCCGTCAACTACGTGGCAAACCATGCCGAGTTACAGTCCTTGGTGCAACATACAGCCCAAGGATCTAGTTGCTGCGACCCGATTCTGCGGCGTGCCGTGGAAAGACCAGGCTTGCATGATTTCATAATATGGGTCAAGAACGACAACACCCAGCCGTGCCCCGAAATGGTTCTTCTGCTCCTTTTGCAGTCGGGCTACGATCCGAACCAGATGATGCCTGGGCGTGATAACACCCCCCTGGTCGGTTTGAGGTTTGCTCCTCGACAGGCTCATGAAAGATAGTTACGACGTGGAAGAGTCCTTGTCGACAGAACTCATCGAAATGTTTCTGGAAGCGGGTGCGGACCCCGAGGTCCTGGACTCGGCCCTGCAACAGCCGAAAAAGGACGCTCCGTACCTAACAAGAGACAATTTGAAGCACCTGCGGGGGATGCTGCCGCCGCCGAAGGAAACTGCCGGGCTCGTGGCACACGAACGGGGATGACAAATCCTGTGCAGGCTACGGTTGTTGATGTCGATAGAACAACTCCTGTGCAAGCTGCGTTTGTTGATGTAGATAGAAGCACTCCCGTGCAAGTTACGATTGTTGATGCCGACAACACACAAACACCGGAGGGGAGGACGACCAACAGAGCGCCGGATCTTGGGCGCCCGGGGAAACAGAAGCTTCTGTCTCGCGTGAGGATATTGAGGTGAGGACAGCTGGGCGGCAAACTAACTGGAAGGTGGTACAGTCTTGCACAACTTGTTTGTTTGAAGTTGTTAGCGTGAGACTTGAAAGCCGCGATTGCCAGGGAAGATGCCCAGTCATGGACATGGAAAAGACCTTCAAATGCCAAAATTGCCTTTTAAGCACCATGAATGCTCTCTTTGAAGGTGAAGAGGCCTTGCGGAATACTAAATATGCCTTTTTAACACTAGAGATGCCATACTTTTTATGCTGGAAGGCATTTCCAGGGCTGTAATATACTCGGCGTATTATCGCTCGAAAAAACGCATTCGGTTGAAAATTCATTGCGTTGTCCTATTAGCTAGAGCCCCATCGTAAACCCGTGAAACCCCTATCTAACTACCCGCAACTCCTATATCATAACCGCACACAACCCCTTGGCCTACTTGTCCTCGCCCGTGCTGGGGATCGGATACTGGGTTGGATGGATCTCATCCTCAATGTCGCCGACGAGAAGTATGTGCACAATCCGAATCATTTTCTCAAAGATGGCGTAGAGCGTGTCATTGTCCAGATTGCCATCCAGGGGGACGCCAAATCGCAAGAAGACGATAACATACGCCTCGACCTGATCGGCAAGCATGCAAGATTTCGTGGTACCGTGCTCGTACACCGCTCTCTTGAGGGCGTGCATCTGGCCGGGGCTGATGAGAAGAGGTCCCTCGGGGGATGGTCCAAGTCGGATTTGCTATGGCAGTGGTTAGACACGGCACATAGGCGTTGCAAAGAGTGGGGGACTGGTGCTTACCTGAAAGGCCTCGGCCGCTATCTGGGCCTCTTGCAGCTCGGCATCTGGGGCATAATCTGGGCTGTTGATATAACGGCAGATGACGTGGTGGCCGTCGGAGACGGCAGACGGGACCTTGAGCTGGGTTGCGACCTCTTTGGCGACCTTGCGGCGGAGGTCCGTCAAGTACGTTTGATACTGGCCTGTCGGGAGCAGGCCGGCCAGGTCAGCAAGGTCGGGGACCTCAATGGGGAGGTCATGAATGGGATCCTCCGGCTCCCACCAGCGCAGAACTCGGACCGGCGGTCTATAGTTCTTAACAAAGTGCTTGACTTCACCCATCCAGGCGTCGTATCGCGCCTCGTCGCTTGAGCAGCCCGGCTTGGTCCACTCGCGGAAGAAAACCAGGCGGCTTTTGAGGTCATCCGACAGGGTCGTGGGCAAAGCACTGTCGACATTGAAGCGGAACCGGTTCGACTCTCGGTCGGCGAGTAGGTGTAGGGTGGTGCGACCTCCCACCAAGCGCATGACGACAAACGGAGCCGTGTCGATGGTCTTGACAGTGTGCTCGGTCGCAGCAAGGATCTCGGCATCGAGGTGGGCTTTGGTCGCGCCCTGGGACGGGTCAGACACAGGAGCCAGGGGCTCGACCCCCGGAAAGGCATTGTGGGGTAGAAACTTGCCCACGACGGCGGCCAGGTCGGTAGGGTCGAAGCCGGTGACGTTGAGGTCCTCTTTACTGAACTTGCCCCGGTCGGCTACCTCCTGGCGCTTGGTAGCTGCCATTTCCTCAGCCGTCGCTGCGATCTGGGCGTTCACAGCAGCGTGCCTCTTGAGAATGGCTTCGCGCTGCTCGGCCATCGCAGCAGTTGCGTGGTGCCCCCCCATCTCGGTGTAGTACTCCTCCATCTCGGCGAGTTCCTGGGCCTGGGCTAGAGCTGTGGCCTTCTGGAGCACTTCCATCTTTTTGGTTCTTCTCTCGTCGGCACCGTCGTCCACGTCGACCCAGTCGCTGCCCCAATGGCCGATACGAATCACTGCCTTCTCGGGGCGGTTCTCGTAGCCTGTGTCGTAGGCCGACAGGCGCCAGTTGAAAGCCAGGTTGCTGTTGGACATGGCTGATAGGAGTTGCTGGCTACGAAAGAGGCCTAATTGCGACACGAAAAGACGCGGTTGGAGGAAAAAGAGGCCCGATTGCAAAACAAAAAGGCGCACTTGAGGGGGGAAAAGACCTGGCGGACACAGAATTA